ACCTAGTCCGACACACGCCCTCTATAATGGACTACTTATATGGTAACCTAGTCCGGCACAGGTGATCTATACTGGGCTATATATATAGTAACCTAGTCCGACAGAGGCGCTCTATACTAGACTACATATATAGTAACCTAGTCCGACACAGGCGCTCTATACTAGACTACATATATAGTAATCTAGTCCGACACAGGCCCTCTATAATGGACTACTTATATAGTAACCTAGTCCGACACAGGCGCTCTATACTAGACTACATATATAGTAACCTAGTCCGACACACGCCCTCTATAATGGACTACTTATATAGTAACCTAGTCCGGCACAGGTGATCTATACTGGGCTATATATATAGTAACCTAGTCCGACACAGGCGCTCTATACTATACTACATATATAGTAACCTAGTCCGACACACGCCCTCTATAATGGACTGCTTATATAGTAACCTAGTCCGGCACAGGTGATCTATACTGGGCTATATATATAGTAACCTAGTCCGACACAGGCGCTCTATACTCCCCCACATATATAGTAACCTAGTCCCCCACACGCCCTCTATAATGGACTACTTATATAGTAACCTAGTCCGACACAGGCGCTCTATACTGGACTACATATATAGTAACCTAGTCCGACACACGCCCTCTATAATGGACTACTTATATGGTAGGCACAGGTGATCTATACTGGACTATATATATATAGTTACCTAGTCCGACACACGCCNTCTTTTAATTTAAGATCATGATATGTTTCAAAAGGGCGTGCCACAAACGAAACTGCTGCTAAATAAGGTTATCAAATTCTTCGCCAATTTTTCCGGATGGGGAAAAGCCTATGTGGTTAACACAGTCACTGCAGCAGAATGAATCGCGTGTGATCCCAGTGTGCCAAGTGTGCCCAGGGGAGATCACTCTAAGTGTGGTGTCAAGTCTATTATTGCACCAGAGTGGTCCGCGATCGCCCCCATTTCATCCGCATCCAATTGGTCGGGGCGATACAAGTAACGGTGAACTCTCGCGAGAATGGACCCTGGTATCGGCTCCGACCCTGCAGGAAAGGGAAAGAATATTGAAATACATAATATATATATATATATATATATTTGCTCTGAAGGTATAGAGTACCTAGTGGGCTTCATGGAATATGTATGTAACCAATTTGCGTTCACACAAGCATGAACATTTACAAAATGCCGTTCAGTCTTTATGTGAAGAGCTCTTTTTCTTCCTCATCCCCAGTCCTGAAAGGAAAATATTTCCCTGACCATATCTTGATAAAGCTACTAGTATTTTTCTCCCGTATTAAGTTTTGTGTAGAAATTAACCACAATTGACAAACATATCCATTTGGTATCTGGGTTGCATCTTCTTGTTATATCTAATATCTAATCTATTCGAATGAAAGAATGGGAGAAAGAAAATGAAGAAATATGATTATATAAGTAAGTTAAATTATTGTTATATATCAGTCATATTTGCAAATATTGTTTCAAATCTTACCTTATGATCTAACAGAGGGTGTTTGGTCCCAAATCTTACCTTATGGTCGAACAGAGGGTGTTTGGTCCCAAATCTTACCTGGTGGTCGAACAGAGGGTGTTTGGTCACAAATCTTACCTGATTGTCGAACAGAATGTGTTTGGTCACAAATCTTACCTGATGGTCGAACAGAATGTGTTTGGTGCTCCTAAATCTTACCTTATGATCGAACAGAGAGTGTTTGGTGCTTCCAAGCATCCAATGGATGCTTTTGATGGATTTGGCGGGAGATTCGCTCCGGCTGACGGGAGAAGGGCTGTGTTCCGGTTCCGGTTTGCTGGAATCCGACCGGTGTTTATGACTGCTCATCACTCTGAAATCATAAAAATATCTTTGCATATATTTTAAATTAATATTTTAAGAGTTAAGTACAACAGTTATCAAGTAACAAAACGTATTTGCAAAATAACCGACTAGTAACTATTACTTCACTGGTGATGATCCCCACTGGAAAAGGTAAGGCGAATGAGTTTTACGATATGGAAAAAAAGAGGATTCGGTTGCTTATACAACTCGTATGGTAGCTATAATAAACTTAACGTACAAATATACCCTTGGTTTGATATGGTATTTTAACACTGTAAAGGGAGATAAATCATGTGCTCTTTATTTACATAAGAGCTTACGACTAAGTTACCAAATACATTCCTTTTTGTGTTTTAATCATGATTTTATAATATAAGATATAGTTTGAATGGATTTTGAGGTTAATACAATTTTCTCCTTTTTCACTCAGTGATAGACAAGGAAAACCGTAAATCTACTGTAGTCAACATTTCAATCAGCCACTAAACTTTTAACGCATGACGTCAGTTGTTGACGGGTATTTAAATATACTATAACAGTTATAATGGAGTTTTATGTATGAAATCACAAAATATTATGTAAAATGTAAGATTGACTGGAATATTAATTATTTTTTTAATCAATGGGTGATTTAACTATTGACGATGTATGACAAACCTTCCACAAAACAACCACGCAATTACCGGCATTCCAATGCACAGGGGTTCTATACTGGACTATATATATATAGTTACCTAGTCCGACACACGCCCTCTATAATGGACTACTTATATGGTAACCTAGTCCGGCACAGGTGCTTTATACTGGACTACATATATAGTAACCTAGTCCGACAGAGGCGCCCTATACTGGACTACATATATAGTTACCTAGTCCGACACAGGCTCCCTATACTGGACAACATTTATGGTACCTAGTCGGTTACAGGCGATCTATACTGGACTACATTTATAGTAACCTAGTCCGGCACAGGTGCTCTATAATGGACTACATTTATGGTACCTAGTCAGTTACAGGCGCTCTATACTGGACTTTTTATATAGTAACCTAGTTCGACACATGCGCTCTATACTGGACTACATATATGGTACCTGGTCGGTTACAGGCGATCTATACTGGACTACATTTATAGTAACCTAGTCCGACACTAGCGCTCTATACTGGACTACATATATAGTAACCTAGTCCGACACAGGCGCTCTATACTGGACTACATGTATGGTACCTAGTCAGTTACAGGCGCTCTATACTGGACATTTTATATAGTAACCTAGTCCGACATATGCGCTCTATACTGGACTACATATATGGTACCTAGTCGGTTACAGGCGCTCTATACTGGACTACATTTATAGTAACCTAGTCCGACAATAGCGCTCTATACTGGACTACATATATAGTAACCTAGTCCGACATTGGCGCTCTATACTGGACTACATTTATAGTAACCTAGTCCGACACTAGCGCTCTTTACTGGACTACATATATAGTAACCTAGTCCGACACGGGCGCTCTATACTGGACTACATATATAGTAACCTACTCCGCCACAGGCGCTCTATACTGGACTACATATATAGTTACCTAGTCCGACACAGGCGCTCTATACTGGACTACATTTATAGTAACCTAGTCCTACACAGGCGCTCTATACTGGACTACATATATAGTTACCTAGTCCGACACAGGCGCTCTATGCTGGACTGCATATATAGTAACCTAGTCCGACACAGGCGCATTATACTGGACTACATACATAGTAACCTAGTCCGACACAGGAGCATTATACTGGACTACATATATAGTAACCTAGTCCGACACGGGCGCTCTATACTGGACTACATATATAGTAACCTACTCCGCCACAGGCGCTCTATACTGGACTACATTTATAGTAACCTAGTCCTACACAGGCGCTCTATACTGGACTACATATATAGTTACCTAGTCCGACACAGGCGCTCTATACTGGACTACATGGATGGTACCTAGTCAGTTACAGGCGCTCTATACTGGACATTTTATATAGTAACCTAGTCCGACACATGCGCTCTATACTGGTCTACATATATAGTAACCTAGTCCGACACAGGGGCATTATACTGGACTACATATATAGTAACCTAGTCCGACATTGGCGCTCTATCCTGGACTACATTTATAGTAACCTAGTCCGACACTAGCGCTCTATTCTGGACTACATATATAGTAACCTAGTCCGACACAAGCGCTCTATACTGGACTACATATATAGTTACCTAGTCCGACACAGGCGCTCTATGCTGGACTACATATATAGTAACCTAGTCCGACATTGGCGCTCTATACTGGACTACATTTATAGTAACCTAGTCCGACACAGGCGCTCTATATTGGACTTCATATATAGTAACCTAGTCCAACACAGGCGCTCTATAATGGACTACATATATAGTAACCTAGTCCGACACAGGCGCTCTATACTAGACTACATATAAAGTAACCTAGTCCGACACAGGTGCTCTATACTGGACTACATTTATAGTAACCTAGTCCGACACTAGCGCTCTATATTAGACTACATATATAGTAATCTAGTCAGTTACAGGCGCCCTATACTGGACTACATTTATAATAATCTAGTCCGACACAGGCGCTCTATAATGGACTACTTATGTAGTAACCTAGTCCGGCACAAGCGCTCCATACTGGACTACATATATGGTTACCTAGTCCGACACAGGCGCTCTATATTGGACTACATATATGGTAACCTAGTCCGACACAGGCGCTCTATATTGGACTTCATATATGGTAACCGAGTCCGTCACAGGCGCTCTGTACTTGACTACCCAAAAGTTACCTTGTCGGAAACAGGCGCTCTATACTGGACTACATATATAGTAACCTAGTCCGACACAGGTGCATTATACTGGACTACATTTATAGTAACCTAGTCCGACACTAGCGCTCTATATTAGACTACATATATAGTAATCTAGTCAGTTACATGCGCCCTATACTGGACTACATTTATAATAATCTAGCCCGACACAGGCGCTCTATAATGGACTACTTATGTAGTAACCTAGTCCGGCACAAGCGCTCCATACTGGACTACATATATGGTAACCTAGTCCGACACAGGCGCTCTATATTGGACTTCATATATAGTAACCTAGTCCAACACAGGCGCTCTATAATGGACTACATATATAGTAACCTAGTCCGACACAGGCGCTCTATACTAGACTACATATATAGTAACCTAGTCCGACACAGGCGCTCTATACTGGACTACATCTATAGTAACCTACTCCGACACAGGCGCTCTATACTGGACTACATATATAGTAACATAGTCAGACACAGGCGTTCTATACTGGACTACATATATAGTAACATAGTCAGACACAGGCGTTCTATACTGGACTACATATATAGTAACATAGTCCGCCACAGGCGTTCTATACTGGACTACATATATAGTAACATAGTCAGACACAGGCGTTCTATACTGGACTACATATATAGTAACATAGTCCGACACAGGCGTTCTATACTGGACTACATATAGTAACATAGTCCGACACAGGCGCTCTATACTGGACTACATTTATAGTAACCTACTCCGACACAGGCGCTCTATACTGGACTACATTTATAGTAACCTAGTCCGACACAGGCGCTCTATGCTGGACTACATATATAGTAACCTAGTCCGACACAGGCGCTCTATGCTGGACTGCATATATAGTAACCTAGTCCGACACAGGTGCATTATACTGGACTACATTTATAGTAACCTAGTCCGACACAGGCGCTCTATACTAGACTACATATATAGTAACCTAGTCCGACACAGGTGCATTATACTGGACTACATACATAGTAACCTAGTCCGACACAGGTGCATTATACTGGACTACATATATAGTAACCTAGTCCGACACAGGTGCATTATACTGGACTACATACATAGTAACCTAGTCCGACACAGGTGCATTATACTGGACTACATTTATAGTAACCTAGTCCGACACTAGCGCTCTATACTGGACTACATATATAGTAACCTACTCCGACACAGGCGCTCTATACTGGACTACATATATAGTAACATAGTCCGACACAGGCGCTCTATACATGGCTACATATATGGTAGCCTAGTCCGACACAGGCGCTTGGCGTTGAAGCACATTCGACAAAAGGTCAGACTAAATAAACAATATCCTATCACAGAGACCTTAGAATTAAAAATGTAATGTATGTTTAGACTTCTCCTGATTGGCAGGGAGTATATGTATACGTTTTAAGAGATTTGATCAACATTAGGAAAAAAGGTAATCCCGAATGATGACAATCTGCATAATTATCAGGAAATTCTAAGCATAAATTGTGTTTTAATACTCAGGTCCCTGTGTTACCTACTCTGAACGCTGATATCTAGCACAGGAGTTCTACAAGGGGCCATTAAAATAAACCATTGGTTCATACATCAAATACGTGAGAAGCTTTCATGCTTTTTTTTCTTTTCTTTTTCATGTTTTCTTAAAAAAAATCAAAAACTCTTGTAAATTTTAAGATGTAAGACAGATAATTTGGTTTAAATACCTTAAGATCCCTATACCACAGCCAAAAACTGTAACTGCACATTGGAACGAAAGTGTCCTGACCCCATTGTGCTTAAGTTATCCTTAAACCGAAATTAAGGGAAGATTACTGTATATACGAACAACTACAGCGCAGAGGGACAGGATCCTTAATAGGTTGTGACGGTAATCCGGGAAGGACGCACTGTTAGGCCCTTGTCAAACGCCTGTGCGAGTCCTTATTAATGGTGTATATTAATCTCTCCACTTATCTCGAGGTCGAGTCGGTTCAAGTAGTACAAACGTCTAACATATCCACAGGAATCGATTCAATCGTTACTATATTTGGAGACATTTTTTCTTACTATCTTGATTAAATACAACTAATTGAATATAAAGTTTCTGTCTTTTCTTGTTCTACAAATATTTCCATTTCTTAGGGTAGAGGCCGAATAATCGATCCACGATAAGTCTTCCCACAACTCATCGAGGCCGTGATCAGTGGCATTGGTACCCATACTGTATATATCCCGAGGATCTGGTTCCAAAGATTATTTGGGGTGGTCGTACAGCGCAGTGAATAGCCCAGTTGCCTTTCAACAAGGCGGCCAGGTTCGATTCCCTGATCGGACGTGAAAAGACATGGGGTCACCTGCGCAATCACATGGGTTTTCTCCGGGTACTCCGGTTTCCTCCCACATTAAGATCCCCCATCCCCCACCCCTGCGCTAGTATCAGGGCCAACAAGAGTGATTAATTAAAGTTGAAATAATCTGTTTCATAGTGGTTGTAAAATAAATTATGATACAAAACATGGTACATGTTTAATGAACAAACTGTGAATATTGTGTGGTGTATTTTGAATTGCGATGTATATACGATGCGATAGGTGATAGAAAACTAGCCCAACGATTCATAGCTCAAACACTACACATGACCGGAAATCCATTTTCAATTATACGGATATAATTATGCGCTGTTGCGCGAGGACGAAAAACATGAACCAATCAATATGGTTCGACACCCAGCAGGGACCAAAATTTAGATTGGTAATCGTTTATCATATTTCTAAAACATCAATCATTGTTTTAATATCAAATTATGTACCAGAAATCCATTCTTAGCACACACATTTGTTTTCATTCAATAAAAAAAGACCTGCATGCATTAGTTGTAATTGTCAGGGTGAAGCATTTTTAGTAATCAAAATAAGACCTGACAGAAATTGAATTTAGATATATTGTTTGATATTATGAACAATATTTGATAGAATAAGTAAACAAACAAAAATCTTAGAATGCTTAGAAAAGAACCCCTTTGAATCTATCCTCTGAAGGGCGATAGTGAGCGTAACCCCAGGGGTATCGATGATGTTTGTTCATGGGTAATCGGGAACCGTCAGCACTTTCCGTAAACGAGTATTTTTTCGTTTACGGAAAGTGCCGACGGAAGCTCAGGGGATGTGTCGGTGTTGGAAACTAACTTACGGCCATATTGTCGAAGCTTTGATAACTTCTGTTGACTCTTCCACACCCAGACATACCCACCCACTGATAGCGTCGTCTGTCCTCCAGACATACCCACCCACTGATAACGTCGTCTGTCCTCTCCCGGCTTGTCCATGGAGTACGTCGAGGAGTAATGGCGGCATGTTTGAATCGCGGCACTAACATGTTGGCCTGTCTGTCTGTCTGAGCGTACGTTTGTGGAGGATTGATCATACGGACGACTGGACCCAGTTCTGGAATCCTCACCGTCTCCTCGAACCCATAACGACTGAAAACCTTCTCATCGTCATTGATTGGGTCATTTTCTAAGTCCTCACGCGATACATTGATACGCGGTAGTCGGTACTGAATCACGTGAGCAACTTCCTGATCATCATCGACGAATGAACGCTCCCTACTTACGGTAGGGCGTTTCTCTCCCTGAACACTCCTCGCCGTCCTCGACCACCTAAAATGGATACATAAATATATAAATTATAATTTACATCACCAGGTATGCACCTGAGTGCATCAGGTTACAACAAAGATCAGGCCGTCCCAACAGAGGAATTTGGCGATAGGTGAACAATTTATAGTTAATGTCGGAGGTCACTTGTATTTAAAAAAGATCAGAGGTCACTCGTGTTCAGTAAAGGTCAGGGGTCAACAGTGTTAAGCTCGGAGTTCACAAGTGTACCGTAAAGGCATGAGGTAAACAATGTATGGTTAATGTCAGAGGTCATCTGTGTACAATGGAGGTCAGAGGTCATCAGCGTACAGTGAAAGTCAGAGGTCATCAGTGTCCAGTGAAGGTCAAAGGACAACAGTGGACAGTAGAGAGCAGAGGTCATCAGTGTATAATGAAGGTCAGAGGTCATCAGTGTTCAGTGAAGGTCAGAGGTCATCAGTGTTCAGTGAAGGTCAGAGGTCATCAGTGTATAGTGAAGGTCAGAGTTCAACAGTGTACAGTGAAGGTAGGTGGTCACATTATTAAGGTCGGAGGTTACCAGTGTGCAGTGAGATTTGTATGTCAATATTGTAAAGGTTGTGTGATAATACTGTAAAGGTTGTAGGTCAATACTGTAAAGGTTGTATGTCAATACTGTAAAGGTTGTAGGTCAATACTGTAAAGGTTGTATGTCAATACTGTAAAGGTTGTAGGTCAATACTGTAAAGGTTGTAGGTCAATACTGTAAAGGTTGTATGTCAATACTGTAAAGGTTGTAGGTCAATACTGTAAAGGTTGTATGTCAATAGTGTAAGGGTTGTAGGTCAATACTGTAAAGGTTGTAGGTCAATACTGTGAAGGTTGTAATCTTTGTACGTAACGTTATGAGGTCTTGTGTAAAAAGACGTCGAAATCTTTTGTATCTTCAACTAAAAGACTCGGGACTACAGATCACTACGAGCGCCCTACCTATAACATTAAATAAAACTTTCTCTTATAGATTCAATAACAGGTTATCACTGTGACATGTGTGAAAAGCAAGTAACAAGGGGGGGGGGGGGAGGTGTAACTTTTAGTTGCTGTGGCAGAATGTTATTGTATATGACGTGAAATGCTATCTGTATATGACGTGAAATGCTACCTGTATATGACGTGAAATGCTACCTGTATATGACGTGAAATGCAACCTATATGTAACGTATATTTTAACCTGTATATCAGGTGAAGTGTTACCTGTATACAACGTGTAATGTTACCTGTGTTACTTGTAGGTAATATGTGATGTTACCTGGGCGTGACGTGTAATGTTACCTGTATTTGACGTGAAATATTACCTGTATGTGACGTGTTATGTTACCTGTATGTGATGTTACCTGTATGTGAAGTGTGAAGTAACCTGCGTGTGACATGTACTGTTACCTGTATGTGATTTGTGATGCTACCTGTATGTGATGTTTAATATTACGTATATGTGTGATGTTACCTGTTACCTGTTACCTGTGTAACGTGTAATGTTACCTGTCCGTGATGTGTAATGTTACCTGTGTGACGTGTTATGTTACCTGTCCGTGATGTGTAATGTTACCCGTGTGACGTGTTATGATACTTGTATGTGAGTTGTAGTGATACATGAATGCGACCTGTTATGTTACCTGTTAGTGATGTGTTATGTTACCTTTTACCTGTGTGTCCTGTAATCTTACCTGTATGATACGTCAAATGTAACCTGTATCTGACGTGTAATGTTACCTGTATGTGACGTGTTACATTACCTGTGTGACCTGTAATGTTACCAGTGTGTGTGATGTGTGATGTTACCTGTGTGAGGTGTAATGTTACCTGTTTGTGATGTGTAATATTACGTGTATGTGACTTGAAATGTTACATGTATGCTATCTGTGTGAGGTGTAATGTTACCTTTTACCTGTGTGTCCTGTAATCTTACCTGTATGATACGTCAAATGTAACCTGTATGTGACGTATAATGTTACCTGTATGTGACGTGTTACATTACCTGTGTGACCTGTAATGTTACCAGTGTGTGTGACTTGTAATGTTACCTGTGTGTCATGTGTAATGTTACCTGTGTGACTTGTAATGTTACCTGTATAGTACGTGTAATGTTACCCTATGTGACTTGAAATGTATAATGTTACCTGTTACCTGTGTGAGGTGAGGTGTAATGTGAGGTGTAATGTTACCTGTCTTTATTATTATTATTCAACTTTATTCTCTTTCACAATACAATGTATAGAGAAACATATTTACAATATAATATATAGTAATTGTAGTGTTCGTAGTCGGTAGTACACAGTACTGTTTTATAATATATACACATTTATATCGAGGAGGTCAAATACTGTTATTAATTATTCTAATAAAAGTACAAAGTTTCTTCAGTGTTTTTATATTAGTAGTATTCATCAATTCATTAAACTTAATTACATTTGGTCTCGTCCAAAAATATTTGTCTATGTATAAAATTCGAAACCCAGATAGTGACGGACACTCAAGCAAGTAATGGAATTCGTCACCAATTTGCTGACTGTTACAGTGTGGACATTTTCTTTCATTATACTCTATATTATGCCATCTGCCGGTTTCAACAATGAATTTGTGATTAGTAGTCTTAAATTTACAAAATGTAACTCTATCCTTATCACTTAAAATATCTAAGTAATTTTCAAAATGACAATTATTTTTAAAAATCCTATAACATGTAGCTTTTGATGAAGTGTGAACATCACTCTGCCATTTCTGTANCCCAGATAGTGACGGACACTCAAGCAAGTAATGGAATTCGTCACCAATTTGCTGACTGTTACAGTGTGGACATTTTCTTTCATTATACTCTATATTATGCCATCTGCCGGTTTCAACAATGAATTTGTGATTAGTAGTCTTAAATTTACAAAATGTAACTCTATCCTTATCACTTAAAATATCTAAGTAATTTTCAAAATGACAATTATTTTTAAAAATCCTATAACATGTAGCTTTTGATGAAGTGTGATGTTAACTGTCTGAGGTGTGATGTTACCTGTTTGTGACTACTGATGTTACCTGTATATTACGTATTATGTTACCTGTTTGTCACTACTGATGTTACCTGTATATTACGTGTAATGTTACCTGTATATTACGTATCATGTTATCTGTATATTACCTATTATGTTACCTGTATATTACGTATTATGTTACCTGTAT